AGTTATGACAAAATATTATTGTCCAAAGCAGAAACAAAGAGAAAACCCCTTTTTCCTATAACAAAACCAAATGTTAACAAAGCACTTACACTGGCACATTCCTGATAAGCTTTACAATATCTTCTGCTCCATCCGTCGTTATAGGCGTGCAGTAGAGCTGCGGATCATTGGGATCAGAACAGAGGTCACTAACTTTGTAAAATGTTGGAAGAATAAAAATAAGCTGAAAGTTGAATAATGAGGAATACAAACACTGCTTTTATGATAGCTTTCCAATAAGAAAGAGTAAACGAAATGTTGAAAGACTGAAGAAATGTTAAAGCATACAGACAAGGAATACTTGCTGAACTCCGAATTCTTCTTTACATTGCACCGAACGTTCAGCGCTACGATACGCTACAAAGAAACCTTCGTATACCAGTAGCAAAAAAAAAATGGACTAGGCACGGTTCATAGAAAACTTCACTAAGTGTTTTACCAGTACTAAAAATTTTAGGTTCTCTGCTATATTTTCATTACTGAAATTTAGACCAATAAGAGGTTTGTTGGCTAAATCCCAGCATCATTTAAAAATGAATAATAGATATTAATGTTCTCGACAACAATATTTTAGAAACATAAAACCAGTTACCCTTTTAAGGAAAGTGTGAATCACCTTTTTGGTCTCGCTACTAAAAATGACGTTGCGCTGACAGTCACCTTCTCGAGAAAGTTTAGTAAAATGAAGATCTGTAAATGCTTTATAAGGCGACCAAACACCACGTACAAATAATGAAACCCAATTCATAAACTTCTTCTCGAGAGCTAATTTCCTTGCGCACAAAAAATTGTAAACCTGAAATTTTATTTAAAGCAATAAACATTTCACCAATTCAAAACTTGTAAACCAATGAAGAAGTTCAAGAACTAACTGTCCCACTGCTCGAATTCATACAAGGCAGGTGGGCGAAAAAGCGATTTCGCTCAAGTAGAGAAACATCTGCACCATACCACAATAGCATCCTCGTCTGTAAGTTTAAGATGTTTACGACTCCAAAGTAAAAAAAAGAACAACAATTAAATTAAAATTTACTGAAAACACATCTTCTATATTGGTAGGATATGAAAAATCTAAAGTTAGATAAAATGATTCAATTTTTTTG